GAGGGGGCAGGCTCCCTAATAGCCAAGGGCTTGTAGATGCTTATAAGCAGGAGCGCTGCCCTCCTCTACTATGGCAGGAGGATAGACCAAATGACCCCTGAGCAGCCCTGTCAAACTCAAGCTTTTTCTTTTCTTGCCCTGCCCCATCCGTGTAGACTGATCCAAGAAACAGAACAGGAAGGAACACAGATCTAAGGGAGCAGGTCGTGGACAGAGCCAGGCAGCCCCGCTTCCCCTCCACCCTATGCCAGAGCCACAGGTTTTCTCCAACCAGGTCTGGTCTGAATCAGCCAGAGCTCAGGGCTCCCAGGGTTCTGACCAGGTGGCCTGTCTCCTGGGGGCTGGGGTTGAGGGGCTGAGGTCCCTGGCGTGGCTGATAGCCTCAGAGCTGGTTGACCTTTCTCATAAAAGCTTATGATGCCCTCTGTATGTAATTCAAAACACAAATACCACCAAACCAAAACAAGAGGAAAGAAGCCTAACAAAGGATGCATATGTTGGTGGCTTCCTCTAGGAAGGGCAACTGGGTGGCTGGAGAACAGGGCTGAGAGGCACACACTGCTGTGCTAGCTGTCATCGCCCCAGCTCATGGCGACCCCATGCACAATGGGATTGGACCATTGTGATCCATAGGGTTCTCATTGACTGATTTCAGAGGTAGATCACCAGGACTTTTTCCTAGTCCATCTTAGTCTGGAAGTTCCGCTGAAACCTGTTCAGCGTTATAGTAACACGCAAGTCTCCACTGACATGCGGGTGGTGGCTGCACGTGAAATGCGTTGGCTAGGTGTCAAACCCAGGTTTCCAGCATGGGGAATTCTGCCACTGAACCACCACTGTGTCTGAGAGACACTTACTTCGCCCTTATATCTTTTTCAGTGTTATGCCATGGACATGTATGACCTTTATAAAAATAAATAAATTGACTAGGAAACAGTAATTTCTGGGAAGCTTCTTGGGCACTGGGGATGCATTTTGAACTGGATGGCGTTAAGTATGTTAAGTTCATCAAACTGTATACTTAATATTTATGCACATTATATATGTTATGCCTCAATACAAACTAAGAAAAAAATAAATAACGAAGTTTAAAGCCCAACAACAGTCTACTTTTCCAGTGACAACTACTTTGATCAGTTTTTGAAGCATCAAACATCAATTCCCCCTCCCCAAAAAAGTTTTCCCTCCCCCCACCCCCCGCCGCCCCTTTGTGTGTGTGTCTTCCTCTCTTTCTGGCGCCCAGGGAACTTCTTGGTCTGTCTATGGTGTAGTTAATATTAACCACCCCTTCGGTCTCGGACAGCTACGCTGAAAGACTGAAATCCCATGAACTCCCTCCCGCACCACAGGCAGGAAGAGCATGTGCAGTCCCCACTGTGCTGGGGCCGACTTGTCCCTGCTCACCTGGGAATGACGAAAGCCTAGCACAATGCTGGCACAGAGCAGGCATCCAATAAACAAACTTATCATAAGCACGCACATACGGGGTCACAAGCACAGCCTCCTGGTCCTCCACACGCACACACACACATCCTGCTTGTCCTATACAGATGAGGACACACATGCACATAAGCATATCACTTATGCACAGACAGTCCCACTGTGTGCACCTTCTCGTCCATGTCCATCCACACACACACCTGGTCTGGTGCAAATGCCCACACACGGACACACAGTCCTCACGATACACAAAGTTGAAGGTCCATGTTCCGAATCAAACACCCGCTGCACCCTGGCCCCAAGCCACTCTCCTTCCGGGGCTTAAACCCTCTTTGTGGGAAGGAAACCCACCAAGGTTGAGTCAGCCAGAAACTTCTGACCCATCCAAGAGGCAGAAATTTCTCTGAAGGGTGTCAAGCCAGAAGACAGACACTCAAACAAGATGTATGGTCTCTGCTGCTCCTTGGCAGGAAAATAATCGTAACAACCTCAGGATAGTGCTCTAGAATTGCAGAGCACGTACACGATCTCATCTGGGCCTCAGACAGCTCTGTGATGTAGGAATTATTTTCCTGACTTTTTAAAAGAAGGGTACAGGCTCAGGGAGACTGAGAGTTAAAAAAGTAAGTGCCTGGTAATTCAGAAGAGAAAATGATCCCTTTGGGAAGTAGGGAGATAATGACAGAAATCAGGAAGATAGGCAGTCTGGAAGAGCAAACAAGCTGAAATAACCCCTAGAAAGTTACTTAACTTCTCTGAGCCTCAGTATCCCCACCTGATAAGCGGGCTTAACACTATTTCCCAAATACTGATGTAAAAAGCTGATATGTAGTAGCGTTTCAGTGCCAACAGATTTTACATTATATTATTAATCCTCACGCCAACCCTATTTAGTTGTTGTTGTTGCTAGCTGCCGTCAAGTTGGCCCCTGACTCATGGCAACCCCATGCACAACCAGATGGGACCATTGTGATCCACAGGGTTTTCATTGTCTGATTTTCAGAAGTAGATCACCAGGCCTTTCTTCCTAGTCCATCTGAGTCTGGAAGCTCTGCCGAAACCTGTTGAGCATCACAGCAACACGCAAGCCTCCACTGACAGACAGGTGGTGGCTGTACGTGAGGTGCATGTGCCAGGAATTGAATCTGGGTCTCCCAGGTGAAAGGCAAGAATTCTCCCACTGAACTACCACTGCCCTCTCAGCCCTACTTAAATCAGTATTATTAGTCCATTTTCAGAAACAAAAACTGAGAGTCAGGAAGGTTAAGGAACTTACCCAAGGTCACAAGCTAGTGAGTGGAAAGGCAGACAAACCAGAGCCTTGCCCTTTCCAACACCCCAACCACACTGCTGGAGAAGGCTTCAGCAGGCAGATAGGGTGAGCACTGGAACAGCCATGATGGAGGAGGGAGGGAGCAGGCACTGCACCAGGGGCAACATCTGCAAAGGCACAGAGGTGGCGTGGACAGGACCCACTTGAGAAGTAGGGCTAGGGTGGGAGTGGAGCATTGCAGTCAGAGCAAAGCTGTTCTGAGAGGCTGGACCCAGCTGCAGAGGGCCTTACAAGGCCAAGCTGAGGAACCAAGGAACGATTCTGCACAGCGGGAGGCCTCGCCAAGCCACTTTGTAGGGAAATGACGTGGCAGGGGTATGGAAGGGATCAAGGACGAAAAGACTCAACAAGAACCCAGTCAGTGGAGCTGACTGTGACAAGGGCGTACACTGGGGGAGACAGTGCAGAGAGAGAGGAGGGGGCAGATGTGAGAGTTTCAGAAGCAAGAATCAGCAGGACTAGTGGGCCAACCAACCCACAAACTCACCAACACTCTCTAAGCAGGTTTTCGCTTATAATATCCATACTCCAACAAGGCCTAACCTGCCCTGGCCCTGCCTCCCTCTCCACTGGCTGACTCTGCTTCGGCACACTGTCCTTTTTTCACTTGTTTGTTTCCACTTCAGGCCCTTTGTGCCTGCCATGACCTCTGCCAGGGGTGTTTGACTCTTGATCACATGGCTGGCTCTTCCTCACCATCCAGGCCTCAGCTCAAATGCCACCTCCTTAGGAAAGCCCTCTCTGATTTCTCCAGCTAGTAATGGCCCTGACACCCCTGGAACTTACTCTAACATGAAGCTGTTTCATTTTCTACATAACACTTATAAAGATCTGAAATGATCCTGCTTATTGAGTTGGTTGGTCTGCCACTTCACATGAAAATGTGAGCTTTATGAGAGCAAGGACTGTATTTGCCTTGTTTACTGCAGTATTCCCAGCACCTTAAACAGTACCTAGCACATAATCCGACTCATAGAGACCCTATAGGGTTTCCAAGGAGAGGCTGGTGGATTTGAACTGCAAACCTTTGGTTAGCAGCCCAAACTCATAATAGATGCTCAATATTTATTAGTTGAATGAATGATGAGGGGGAGTTAAGGGAACCAAAGCCAGAGGCTAGGAAGTACAGGGGGAGCTGAGTGGACAGGGGAGAGATTTCACAGGTTTGCCTTTCAGACATGTCATATTTGAGGTGATGTGGATTACCCAGGGGGACAGATCCTAAGCAGGAGGCAGAATCAGGGGACAAGAGGCTAGAAGTGGAAATCTGAGTGAGAATAAACATACATCTGTCAGGGATAAACTATAATAAAAGGGGGGCGGGGGTAGAGGAGCATGAATGAGCATGGGGGTCTGTGCATCTTAGGGAGACAAGAGGTATGTAGGGACAGGAAGCCGAGCCAGGGTAGGGCGCAGGGAAGTCACGCTCATGGTCACATACCTGCCAGGAATGAGAATGAACCCCTCCCTCCCAAACTAACAGGAGCCTGTGGGACCCAGGTGGGGCAGGTGACTTACCCACGGGACAGCATCTCCCAGGAAAGTATGGGGGAGTAACAGGCAGAGAGCCGCCGGGGGTGGGGCCGAGCCAGGGGCACGGCAGAGCACAGTGACCCAGGTCAGGTGAGGAAGAACACTCAGAACTCAGCTACTTCCTCCTCAATCCAGGCCTCCAGGCCAATGGCACTGCAGGGACAAGCCCCTGGACTAATGATCCTGGAGCAGGGACAGGTGGGGCGGGGCTAGCCTCAGACCGCCCACAGCAGCTCGCTTCCCACTACAACTCTTGCTCATTCGTCCAGCTGGCCCGCCAGCTTGTCCAGGGCCTCCTTCCCTTGGGAGGGGAGGAGCCACCAGGAGCTCCACCTGGAGGAGCAGTGGGAGGGCCGGTAGGGGCAAAGACAGGATGTAGTCCCGGCCAAGGGAACACCAACCGATCGGGGTACCAACGGGCCTAAGTAAAAGCCCTGGAAGCCCAATGCCTTAGCGAAGGAGGAGCCACCATGTAGGTCTACCCACTCCCCCACCCACCCAATGTGTTGAAGGACCAGCCCACCCTCTCACCCTTCCTTGGGTGGGGTGAAGTGAGAAGCCTGGTGCAGGGCTGGGCCTGGCAAGGAGCATAGAAAGGATCTGGAAAGGGAGAGGTGGGGCAGCCTGGAATGGTGAGGTAATCTGGAGACAGAAGGTGGGGGCTGTCAGGGTCACAAAAGACTGACACCAAGGCCAAGTCACAGGCACATTTATTACCCTCTGGGAAGCTAAGGTCTTCCACTCTCCGAAGCCACACAGGGGAGGGCCAAGCCCCTCAGGAGGCAGCGACGCTGCCACCTGGTGCAGGCCCGTGAGGCGGCAGCGTCATCGGTGGCAGGAACAGAGCCTTCAGCTTGCCTGACAGGCTGGCAATCTCGGGATCCTGCGCTTCGTAGGACTTCACCAAGCGGGCGAACTTAAGGACACCTGAAGGGGGAGTGGAGAGTCAAACCACACGCTGGGGACTGGCATGCCCAAGATGGCGGGAAGGGTAGGCAGATGGGATATGAGTCACTGGCTGCTCCCCAACTGGCCAGGTAGCTGTCTGCAAAACAGGACACAGGCTGGCCTCTCTCCAGTGTGGTTTGGATCAACGATTTCCTGGTTTACACTGTGCACAGCTGGAGGAGAGTACAGTGAATGAAAAACATCCCAAAGCTGTGTGTGTCTCACTTTCAGGTGAGCCATTTTAGCAGTTTAGTCACAAGAATCCAAAGTGTAAATACCCACGAGGTCCAAGGTCTATAACACGACACAGGAGGGCTGTGGAGCAGCGTGATCTCACCAAGGAAATTTCACCATCAACCTCTAAACAGATTACTACTGTTTCAACACCTTGGAGGGGCTGTAGAGCAAGCTCTCATGATACAGTCTTCTCACTAAAACGCTAGCAGAACTGGGTTCAAGTCCAGCTCTGCTGTGACCCTGCCCACTTTACAACCGGAGTCTGTCTCTCATGTTAAAATACGAATTAGAGTGATCAATGAGGATATTAGAGTGATTAATGGTAACTACGAAATGCACCTGTAGGATTTCGCTTGGCACAAGTTCAGGGTAGACCCTGTGTCCTGAGTGCCAATACTGTTAGTCAGATTATGGCTGCCGCCGAGTGGCGACAAGGGGAATGACAGTTCAGGGGCCCAATCGATACAGCTCCTTCTCCCCAACCCACCTTCCCCGTCGCAGCTGAAACCATAGGCTTTGATGACCTCCTGCTGGATCTGCGTGGCCACGGGCAGAACAAATTGCAGCATCTTGCCCATGTCGTTACACGCGTTGTCCCGAGCTTCGTCCATGCGCACGGCGTTCTCCGGGGCCGCGAACGCCTGGATGACCTCAGCCAGGACCACTGCGCCCCAGAGGAACCCCAGGAACGTGTCCCGTGGTACGTGACGGAGCATCACCGGCGAGCCCGGTCGAAAGCACAAGGAAGGGGACAGAGAATTAGGCGACTGAGCCGTTGGTAAACCGATAAATTCGGTCCTAGAATCCTTCGCTCTAAGGCGCAAGGACCGTACTTAGCAGAGAGAGAGTAAAGGTACGCGGCGCCCCCGCCCCCGTCGACTACAGACATCTCCCTCCCCATCTTCGGCCGTACCCTCCCCCGACAGACAGCCCACCCTGGTGATTAGGAATGCTTCTCACCCTTGGCCTGTTCGGCGCTCAGGGCCGCGGGTGGGGCCGAGGCGGACGCCATATAGAACCATAAAAACCGCACGTGCAGCCACACCGCGGGAAAGCTTTGCAGGAAAAGGACTACCTCCTAAGACCGATGGGAGTGGATGGGAAGCAGCATCAGCCGGAGCCGGAAGCTACAATGGCGTAACCCTAGTGGTTCAGTTTGGAACTATCCAAAAAGTCAAAGAACCGTAACAAACTTACTACGCAAAACCGCCCTGAAAAACACAAAAAACGAAAACTAAAACAAATGATATCTACTGTTAAAACACAACATGTAAAAGGGTTTTCCGGAAAAAACCGGAAAACCTACTAGACAAATTCTAAAAGAGCTGTAACACTGTAACAGAAACGCTGGGAGAGAACGTGGGATATTCGTGGACTCCACTACAGCTGAGGGTGAACTGACAGCGGAGTTTTTTTTTTTTCAAACCCTACTAATGTCTAAGCAGCGGAGTACACTAACTTTCAACAGCAAAAACAATATTCTAAAGAAAACTTAAATCGTTCATTTCGAGAGTTTGTGAACCTTTATTATGAGCCTATGCAAATGAGCGCGATGTTGATTGGCTGGAATAGCAGCCAGCCACACCCCTTTAGTTTTTAAGACGGAAGACTGTGATTCGCAGCAGTAAGAACTGTGAGTAAGCGTGGCTCTTGCGCTTTCCTAAAATGGCCTTGCTTAGGGGTGGCGCTGCAGCATAACGCCCTTATTTCACTTCCAGGCGTTTGAAATTGTAACCCACTCCCTCTTCAAGCTGAAGAGTAATTAAGGTTCTAGTCACATTGACCTATTTGAGAGAACACCCACTCCCACTTCATAACTGTATCTCGAACTATTCCACGGAAAGGATCCAGCTCTGAAACCCTTGTCCCAGAAGACTCTGGTGGCCCCTAGTTGTGGGACAGTGGCAGGTTTACCCCCAAGGACTCAGGGTAGTTCCTCCGACATGATCATGTCACAAGCGAGCCTGTAGCAGGCCTCTAACAGCTTGACTTCCGCAGCCCTGGAGGGCGTGGCGGTGGCAGCTCCCCCAGTAGTTCCATCCCTCTTCCAAGATCCCCTCTGCAGTTCGCAGGCTTTCTACACCCGATTCGTTCCTCAGGTCCTGTCCCTCCCATTTTCCCACCAATCTCTGGTTCCACAGCTTTTTTTCTGGCCACCACTGCGCAGAGACCCACCCCCACCCCCCTAGCCCGCAAAGAAAGAGTCGCAGCCATCTTCCTGGAGAGTCGTGAGGACGTTTGTTTGGTTTTGGTTGGGATGTTTTTTAAAGAGCATCATATAGATATTTATATATATAAATTATTAATGTGGAAGAGGGGGAGGGGCATACATCGCAGGGGGCGCGCACACAGGGATTGGGGGGGTGGCAGGGGCGCACACGATGCTACGCAAAACAGCCACATCTAACAGATGAAATAATCACATCAACGGGGTAGGGAAGGGGCGATGGCCATCAAGGGCTGGGCTTAGGGGAGGAGGAAAGCTGGGGTACAAGGAAGAGGGACCTGGTCCAAGATACTGTGTGCTTCTGCCCCACCCTCGCCACCTCCCCACCTTCCCACACCAGCCTTGGCCTTCTGTCTGTCCCTTTCTCTTCCCCACTGCCCAGCTGCCAAGGCCCTGCAACTGAGCAGTATTCTCTCCTGGGTTCTTTGTGGCAGGCTGGGAGGGGGGCCTCCAAGGTCCAGACACAGGGGCCATGGGTGCTCTCTTGGTCACAGGTTCTACAGCGGCTTGTCACTTTCCTTCTTCAGGTGACTAGGGGGAGAGGGGGAGTCAGAGCAGAGAAGAGCCTGAGGTCACTTCTGACCTGGCCCCTTTCACAGATGCGGGTGGGGCGTTCCTTTTCCAGGAGCCTAGAGCCCTGCTGTCCCATGCCCAAGCCCCATCCCAGGCTGGCAAAACTCACTTCCCCACTCCAGGCCCAGGGTGCCCCATACCTGTAGTAGTCCTCCTGGGCGGGTAGCGGCACGCTGTGCAGGGGGTGATGGGCGTGCAGCCACTGCTGCTGCTCCAGTGCCAGGCGCTGCAGCTCAGCAGACTGCGCATGCATGGCCTGCAGCTGGTGAGCTGCTGACATGGGGCCAGAGAGGGAGGCTGGCAGGTCCCGGTAGGGGGCAGCTGTGGGCAAGAAAGACAGGGGGCACATGACTGATGGGTACTGAGCACCTACTATGGACCAGGGGACAGCCAGTCACATTACATACAGAGGAAACCAAGACTAAGAATTTAGGTAACACATCCAGTCTTGCAGGTTGTCAATGGCGGAGCTCAGATGCAAACCTTGGTAGTCCAGCACTAAAACATGCCTCTCTTGGGCAGGGCCTCGGCTCTCCTACTCCCATTCCCAGCTCCTCTAGGTACTTCCTCATCCCTCCCCAAGCCCAACTAGGTCGATCCTACCACTCAAATTCCTTCTTTCTGCCCTTCCCTCACTAGAACTTCTCCACCCACAACCTCCATCCTTACCAAAGAGCTGGTGACGAAGAACTTCGTTCTCGTGCAGAGGATGAGGAAGAAGGGGGTTGGGGAGGGTTCCAGCTGGGTAGGGGATCCGGGTAAGGTGAGACCCTGAAGCCAGGGGGTCAATGAGAGGATGCACTGAGGCGGAGGCTGGAGGGCAAAGAAGAGGAAGGTGTTATCAGAAGGTAGGTTTGGGGAAACTATCCATTTAGGTGAAGGGAAGCCTGGGAAGAGAAATGGACAGTGAAACACAGGGAGATCCAGAATGGAATAGGAGGCAGAATGAAACAACTAGGGGGGCCTAGGGGGTGGACAGGACTAGACACCACTAGAGTAGGGATATATGAATGAGAGAAAACAGGAAATTAGAGTTGCCAGAGGAGTCTGAGCAAAAGGAAGGAAAGAATCAGCCTGCTTAGAGGAAATGAAGAAGGATAGATAGAAGTTTAGGAAATGAGGCAGGAAGACAAGGGATGTTAAGAGGGAAAAGGCACAGGGGAGCCTAGGATGAACACAACTGTAAGCTTAGGCCGAGCAAAGTTCTGGACAATATGAAATATGGTGGAAGAACAGTAAGTAAAGCTCATTATCACCTATAACATCCAGAACCAAAGCTGCAGGGCTCTTTCTGGAAGGTAACAGATCTACAGGTGAGGAGGAACATGAAAGACCTCCATCTCGGAGGGGAGGAGAGGATGGCAAGAAACAATGGCAGACACAATAAATTTGAAACCCAAGGAACAAGAAAATAGGTAAGTGAAGGGCTTGGGGAAAGGAACTATAAGGGTAGAAAGGTGGTTTTCCTTCATGGAGCTCCAGCTTGGGCCTCTATCATGGATGGGATGCTAGACTAAGGAGAGGCCTGGGGTGTGGGGCATAGAGGCTCTGCAGCTAGGACAGAGCATGAGGAGACAGGCTAGGGAGATGACAGGAGGCAGCAATCACAGGAAAAAGGCTCATGTCAGGCTAGGGTCTCAGCCTGAGGAACAGAAGAGCCTGGCCACTTGCCAGGGGTAAGGAGGCCCCAAAGGGCCAAGGCAAGGAAGATAGGGGGTCTCACCTGCATGGATGGCATCCTGCTGGTGCAGATGTAGGTGCGAGTGGATGTGGGAGTGCTGGTGGTGATGCGGGGTCACGTTGAGCATCTGCAGCCGGGCCAGCGGGTCATTGCCCAGGGCTGCCACCCTTTCTGCATGCTGCCTCTCAGCTGCCAGCCGCTCAGCATATGACATATCGGGCCGCAGGGCGGGCCCAGCTGCCAGTGCTAGACGTTCTCGTTCTAGGGGCCCCAGGCTTGGATGAAAGGGGAAAGGGTGCAAGCCAGGTGGGCCAGGCTGCAGAGCCAGGCCCCCATGTCGGGGGAAGGGGTCAAGGCCTGGCCCAGGGACCCCGTGTAGGGGTTCCAGCTCACTGGGCTTCACCTCAAAGCCAGGCTTGAGGCGGTCACGAAGGTCTCGCTCACGGGCTTCCCGCTCCCTCTCCCGGGCAGCAGGGTCACTGCTGTACAGGGCTGGGACATTGTAACCCAGGAGTCCTGGGTCCACTGCCCCCAGGGGCACGTAGAATGGGTGGTTGCGGTTGCCAGGAGACATGACATGGGGCCGGGCATATTCGCTGAGGGTGCGCAGGGCTGGAGTGTCAGGACCCAGGTAAGGGGGCACTGTAGCCACAGCACTGCCTGGCTCAAATGGAGGGCGATGGGGCACTGGGCCCAGAGATGGGCACTCCACTGGAGCACGGCCCTCCTGAACCAACTTCTGTGGGACACACAGAGAAATGGAATCAAAAAGACAATTGTGGAAAGAGATAGCAGGTCTCTAGCTGCCCGTTTGTCTCAGCAGCTGAATACCAAAATGCCTCACACCACCAGAACTGTAACTACCAGGAACTTCTCCACCCCCTTGGATAGCTGCCCTTCCTGCGACCCACAGGTAGTCCCACCTGACCTTGCCTTCCCCCAAACCAGAAATGCAAAGATTCCTTAAGTTGGAATCCTTTTGGTCTCTGTTGAGTTGTAGTGATTCCTCCTCTCCGATAGGTGGCGACATCACCTCCCACCCTTTGAGCCAGCCTCCCTGAACAGCGCAAAGGAGGGAAAGAAGGTGGGTGGCGCATCTTGTGATGCACTCACCACGCTGCGCTCGAGCTCGCGCTCCTTCTCGCGTTCGCGCTCCTTCTCGCGTTCCCGCTCGCGCTCGCGCTCCTTTTCTTCGCGCGCGCGCTGCTCGGCCTCGCGTCGCACCTTCTCCACCAGGTCGGCCCGCTTCTTGGCCAGCTTGGAGCCCTCCAGCGGCACAAAGTACAGGTCGCTGCGCGCGCACGAGTTGAAGCCGCGGTCCAGGTGTTTGTTGAATCTGCCGGACGCGGAAGTGGCGCACGTTCAGTCCTTGCGAGCTGCCCTAGCGAGCCTTATGCATCTCCCAGCCCCAAAAGCAGTCCCCGCAGGCCCTGAGCTGCTGTTTACGTCAGGGCCTAACCCGGAGCACTTTAAAAAGCAGTATATGAATGCAAAGCCCCTCCTGTGGCTAGTCCCCGCTTTGTCTGCCCGGTTCCGTGCTGCCCGCCCACACCCGGCCCAGGCCGCTCACCTGGCAGACTGACTGGCATGGCTGGGCACGTCTACCACCTTAGGAGGGGGCGAGGGACTGCGGGCCGGAGGCACTGGGCTCTCAGGGGGTTCGTACTCCTCAGCCGGCTCCTGTTTGATCTGTGTGGCGCTAAGGGGCGGCCCTGAGGCAGGGGCCGAAGGCGGTGGTGGCAGGGAGGACAGGCCTGAGGGCCCTGCTGGCGGTATCGGCCCAGGCCCCACGGTGGGCGAGCCTGGCTTGAAGGTTCCTGGGCCAACGGGCGGCGAGGCGCCTCGGTAGCCTGGTGGGGTCCCCGTTCGGA